GTGTGTAGAGGGATCAGCCTGCTCAGGTACGATCCAGGCCATGTGTTTCTAGCTCTTGCCTACTGGTCATCTTACCACCCAGCAGCACTCCGTATCAGAAAGCATGAAATTCAACTCAGGTCAGTGCTTGGATGTGGGCTGAGTGGAGGCAGAGGTTTCACCGGTTAGCCACAATAAGGCTCAGGGATTATCTATGGGTTTCAATTAGCCAAGAGAGCAGGTCTCTCAGTTACCATGAATAATCAAGAGAGGGGTGTATGTCCCAAGGCAAATAATACTTTGTACCTAGCCACCTTCTCTTCCGGGGGACATGGCTGACACTCCCCACCCCTTCTTGGACGATGACCCCAGGGATGGCTGATTGCCAAGAGGCCCTAGAACAGCGGGCAGTGTGCAGAATGCTGTAATCTTGCAGACCTGAGTCGGACAGGTATGCACGGGAAGCTATAGCTGTGATTCAACGCCTGCCGAGAAAATGTAGGGTTGTACTCCTCTTTGTGGGCACCGCTCTGCACTGTTATGCTGACTCAAAGCACTCTTTGAAGTCCACGGGACCTGTTATCAATGAACACTAGGAACCAAGCCCTACACGCCAATTTCCATCATGCACAACCATTTCAAAAAGACTCAGGGCAGGAAGTTCAAAAGAATGCGCCCGCAACTGCAGCATGCAATCTACAAAATTATAGGCACTGCCTTGTCGCACAAAGCACACGGAGCAGGTGCTTTGCAAATGCCTCCTTGCCAAGAAGTCTCTGCTGAGGATTAATGGGAATTTCCAGGTCTAAGCATTTAAGCATTTCTTTTCCTTAGATTTCTTAAATTTCTAGCACTTTAAAAATACAGGATTTCGCACCTGTTTGTTTCAGAAACACTTGCTAAAAACAGATCTGCCAAAAGGCCACCTCTAAAATTAGTCATATTTCCTGCTCTGCACAACATAGTAAATCATATTTTTAGTAACTCCTTCACTCCAGGTATCTGGCATGGTCGTGCTCTAAGCATGATTATTGGCAGCTTACTAAGCAGGCAACCCTTATTTTTAGCCCAAAAATAGCTCCAACGAAAGTGATAAACAGGCTTATTATTTTTTTTTTCAGCCAAAGGTTAGAACAAGATATTTAAACATCTTAACCAATCAATTGTGTGCATCCCTCTTGGTCTCTTAAAGAGACTTAATCACAAAAGGCAATAAGTGGCAACAACTGTTTGCCCGTGTTTTGCGTTTTCCTGCCTACCAAAAATGCTCTATACCCACACTTTCTCGGTCAAGCTTTGCCAACTACATTGTATCAGTTTTTTAAAAAACATAATAGTAACCTTTTATGTGCCAGAGACTGTGATTTCATAGATATCACAAACCAACCTCAAGAACAGGAAGCACAACTTCTCTGGGTCTTTCAAAGTCATTATCCGACACTCTTACTCATCAGCAATTCATCAGCAACATTGCTCTTCGTCTCAAAGCCACAGCAAACGATTCTTTTCAGAATCTGACTTGGTGATCACTTTTCCTGGTCAAATCATCAACTTACCTTTAGTCAAAGACACTTGGCCCCGACGGAGAATAGGCCAATTAGAAGTGTCACGTGCTCAAGTGAACGAGTTATTTTTAAAGCCAGATTATTAAGAGACTGCATTCACTCCTGGCTAATGGAGAACAAAATTAGGTTTCAACCCAAAGCCACCCTTTCTTTTCAAGGAGTAAAAGGGCCATCTAGATTCAAATGACTTCCAGGTAAACTACTTCAGGGGAAAAGCAGGCAAAATACTGTCCTTCAGGCAGTGGTGGCAAAAGGAGCTTCTTGATAAGGTTGAAGCCTGAAATGGAAGTCAGGAAGAAGTGGCTGATTTTGTCATCTGGACTCAGACAGTGATGCCCAGGAAACTGTGGAGGATTTCACCAGAAAGTTTTTGGAGATGTGTACCGAGTTGAAACACAACATACAACACACACATACGCAGCCCCCATACCAAATGCCTTCAACTAGCAATATTCTAGATTTTGGCGCAAATCACCTAAAACAAGGTGCACGGTTTGAGAATGCAGCTATGAAGCCGGCCATATTTGGGGTGCCCCCTCACCTTCCCTTCCTCCATCCCCTCTCTCAGCTTTTCTATGAATTGATTCTCCAAGACAAGCTGCTCTGGATCCTCCCACTTGGGGTGGGCTGGGGAAACTACACCTATTTCTCACTACAGTGTTCATGACTTCATACCTCTCCCGATGTGGTCCATGTCCTTTAAAACAGAAAGGAGAGGAGAAAAGTGAAGTGCTTAATCCACAATCTGTGCACCCCTTAATCTTTAATCTATGCACCCCAAGAAAGGAGGAAGTAACGGGGTTTGGGTCATTCACCCACTGTGGGGGACACTGCAGGTTTGATGACGCCCTTCCTTTGGTGGTCTCCCCTGCTCTGCTCACTCAAGTAACCCTTCCCCCAGGCTGAAACCCATTTAGTAGCTCAGCTTTTCAAAACAACTTAAGGTTGCAAACAGCCTTCACCTTTGCTTTGGCCTTAGTTAGGCAACACCCAAAACAGGAGCCTGGATGGGGACTCATTAACTTAGCAATCCTTCCCAAGCAGAGTCAAGCACAAAAAATACATTTTAATCTCTACAATCTGCTAAAACCCAAATCTATTAGTTAAGCATTAAAGGTGTTGGATTTGGGAGATCAACGCTATGAATGACACCATTGTTTCTTTAAAGCTGGCAACAGTGTGAACTAAAATCCAGATTTCTCCTGATGCCTTGGTCCCTGGAGCACCGATTCTCAGGGCTAGAGAAGAGCACAGCAGGTGAACCAAGTTTTTCAACATAAACTGCCCTCCCCTGCCGCCTCCCCCCACTTCTTCTATCCTATGAACCACCATCCTTAACTAGATCAAATCAACTGGTCCAGGCAGGGAAATAATTTTTACATCCAATTGATACCTCATCTCGCATTGCAAAGAGGAAGTGAGATTCATCATTTAAGAAAGATCAGATGGAAGAAGAAGGGGCGTGGGCACCTGGGGTGCAAGGGGGCTCCTCATTTGGGTCTGGGTTGGGCAGGAACTGCCTGCGTTCCAGGGTGCTCAGTGGACCCAGCGCGGAGCTCCGGCTACATCCCCAGGCAGTTCAGCCAAGGCCAAGAGCTTTATGTTATGGAGCAAAAATGCACGGCAGAGGAGCCGGAGGCAAAGCACAGCACCGGAGAGTGGAGAGAAGCCAGAGAAGCTGTGCAGCAGGACCGGCGAGAAGAATGTAATGTTTGCAATTACGCTGTCAGCATCAGGACTCACCTCTTTCTGCTGCGTTTAGAGAGAAAATAGGCATGACCAGACTGAGTCCTATACGTTGCAAATGAAAATAAACTTCTACCGCCAGGGCCAAAAGGAATTTACACAGGGACACGACAAAGTGAGCTCACTCTAATTAGCCAACTGCAGCCTCACAGCATCCTCTCCCCCGAAGTTACTGGCCTTGTGTAAGGCAGACAGCTCACACGCGCCAGGAGCAAAGCTGACCCACTCCCTTTGCACTAGAATGAGGTCTGGAGGTTTTTTTCTTCTTCTTTGAAGAGTTACTCAATTCAGTCAGTTCATACGGAACACTCCCTGTTTGCATGGAAATTCAGGCAGGAGGTACTTTTTAAAAAACTACTCACTCTAACACTACTTACCCAAAATAAAGGGTACCTCACTCGGAATGGCTGTGTTCACAGATGATGGAGACCAGCACTCAAATGCAAGGGCTCCGGGACAAAGTGGGGACACGGGAGGGAAGCTGAAGGTGGGTGAGTCTGGGGCCTGGCAGGCAGGGCAGGTTGGCCCTGTGACCGGGTTTCACACACAGCCCCAGGCTGGGCAAAGGGTCCCAGGTCAGAGGGCAGAGGGCAGACGGTGTGCAACGGTGTGGCTCCCTGGCTACTTGCCAAGCTCCCCTTGTCACTCCCTGCTGCTGATGCCTCCCTGACCCCTGGGCCAGGGAGGGTACTCCCCCTCCAGTGCTGAGCAATCCCCAGGTTGCTTGGGAGCACCGAAGCTTGGGACAAACCCCAGCCTGAAATGGCTCCAAGCACCACGCAGCTCCCAGCCTTGGGTGACCCAGCCTCAGAAGTCACCATCTCTTGGGTTTCTTCTCACAGATCTAAGTTACACCTTAGGTCTACCTGCCCCTCCCTTGGCAAGGCTTCGCAGCTGTCTAACTTCTAACGAGGCTGCAGAGCGGCCCCTCCAGGTCTTCAGGAGGTCCTCCTCTCCTTTCCCTTCTTCTAGAAAGATAAGACGGCACCTCCCAAACTCTGGGGGTGTCCATGTACCTCTGTACCTGCAAGAAGCTTCCACCCTGGCGCTCGGGGGATGGACAGCAGGCAGTGGGGGATGGAGGGAAGAGGATGAGAATGGTGGGGTGAGGACAGGGGGCCGGGGTGGGGGGATGGAGACGTGTGGGGTGGCGGTGAGGAGTAACGTGTTGAAACCCTGCTCTGAGCACGAAAACTTCCCTCGCTGCCCCAGCCCACAGCTGGAGAGGAATGTCCCTAAGGAGGGGGATCAGACGCTGAGCTTCCCCAAAGGCTGCCTAATCCGCTTTCCTGACCCCCCTCTGACCCCCCACCCCCGATAGAAAGGGTCCACGTCCTCTCCCCCTGGTTCCTGCCCCTCCGCTGATCTGCCGCCCCTACCGGCCGGGAGCACAGGCCCCCCACCCCACCCGCGCTGCCGTCCGCCAGGCGGCGCCCTCGCAGGAGCAGCAAGGCTACGCGGGACGGCTTCGCGGGTAAACCAGCCGCCCCGCGGGGAAACGGACCCCAGATCGCCCATCGGAAAGGCCGGGTGACCGGGCTGCAGGGGCCTAAGCCCGCGTTTGGCTCGACCTCCCTTTCAGCCCGAGCGGAAAGTCAGGCGGAGGCGCCCGGCCCGGGACCGCGCAGCCGGACTCCCGGTGCAGTGCTCTCGGCGGGGCCCGGGCCGCCCCTCCCGCCGCGGTCCCGCAGCCCGAGCGCGGCGGCTCACCTTCTCTCCGGTCAGCACGTGCAGCCCCTCGCGCACCTTGGCGAAGGAGCCCTCGCCCAGCTTCCTGCTGCCGATGAGGTAGTTGCCCACGCGCTTGTGGTGCTGGAAGTCGCGGAGCCGCTCGCGGGGCACGCCGCTCACCCAGGCCGGCAGGAAACTTCCCTCGCAGGCCGCCGCCGGCCTGGCCGCGTCCTCCGCGCCGCCGCCGCCCCCGGGCGCCGCCGGCTCCCCCAGGAGCCCGTCCCCCGCCGCCGCCGGCATCGCGCTCGCCCGCGGCCCGCGCCGCCCGGCTCGGCTCCCGCGCTCGAAGCTCTTCCTCCTCCTCCTCCTCTTCCTCCTCCTGCTCTGGCTCCCCGGCTCCTCCCGCCGCCGCCTTGAGCCGGGCCCCGCCCGGCCCAGGTCTCCGCGCCTTGCGCCCCGCGCTCACGCCCCCTGCGCCGCCGAGCACGACGCGCAGACAATAGCGGTCACCCGGGCGACTGGGGACCGGGGACCCCGCCCCCAAGAAGTTCTTCCTCGGAGGGTCGCCCGGGTCCCTTTCAAGACACCGGGACCCCTCCCCGGGTCCCGTCCAGGAGGCTGATGACAGTCGCCCTGCTCGGGCGCGCGGGGAGGGGCGCGGTCCGGCGCCTGAATCCCGGAGCCCGGTGCCTGGTCCCGGAGCCCGGCGCCTCCGCAGCCGCCGCCTCGCCGCCGCCGTCTGGCCCGCACGGGCTCGGGGCCGGCTCGCTCGCTCCTAGCCGTGCGCCGGGCGGCCGCTCCCGCCGGAGAGAAGCGCGCGGCGGGCTGCAGGCGCCCTCTGGAAGGCAGCAGAAGAAAGCCCCATTCAGTTTGAATTTGCAGAAATTTAATCCGGTCGCGGGCGGCGGGAACAGATGCGAGCTCCACTCCGCTGCCCGTGCACTTTCAAATCCCTCGTAGCCCCTCCTTCCCCGCGCGCAACAGCCAAACTCGACCCTCGCTGGAGAGGGGAGGGCTCGGGGAGGGAGCGGCGGAGTGGGCGGCGGAGCCACCTGAGCGCCAGACTGGGGGACCCTGCGCGGCCTCGGAGGCGCGCGCTCCCGGGCCGCCGGAGTCCGGCCACCTCCGGCTGCGCCTCTCGCCCGGATTCTGGGCTTGGGTTTTCTGGACCTTTCGGCGGTGAAATTCCCCACTAGCCGCATCTACTGGGGGCGGGGGGGAGGGAGCGAGGCTCTCTCGCACCCCGTGGACTGTGGGTCGCGTTGAGTGGCCCAGCCCAGAGTCTGGCACACAGTAGGGCCCCCTGGACCTGGGTTGGATGGATGGATGGATAGGTGGATGAGTGGCAGAAAAGATGGGGGGGTGGCAGGGCGACCGCCCGGGCTCGCGCGCAGACCGATTGCTGTGTTGGAGGAGGAGCAGCCGCAACGTAGGAAAGAAACGGCGTTTGCTGCCTGTCTGTAGCTTGCACCTTCTTTGCCTTCCATCGAAATGGTGCCCGTGATCGCAGGAGGCGGGGGACCGGCGCTCGCTGCTCCCCGATGCTTTGTTCTGTGAGCGCTGTGACTGTGCTCGTCTCATAAACAATTGCAGCTGCCCTGACGGCTCTGGTCCGTCTCCGGGATCCCCAACGTCTTCTCAAACCGACACTGAAGACTCTTGTGAGGGAGAAGCTGGAGGGGTAGGTCGGGGCAGGCATCTACAAAATGCTACCTGTTGAGGTGCCTGCAATTCATGCAAACTTCACCCCCCCGCTCGTGCAACTGCAGAGCTGACAGGGAGGATTTGGCCCCCACGAAGTTCCTTGCATTGTTTACTTCTCAGTAAACAAGTATAGCCTCGACCCACATCGGTGCTTTGAGATGGGGGTGGCGTGGGGGGACGGCGAGGCAGCCGTCATTAATCCAGTGTCTTGGGGGCTGGCTGACCCATCTGCAAATTGACCCAGAGAAACGCCTGCTCTAAGTAGGTCTAATTTTAAATATGCCACTATATGCATCTACTTACATGTTACAAGTCACCAGCCTCAGTTATTATGACTGAGCATATTGTGGGGGGTTTTTGTTGGTGGTGTTGGTCAGCTCATTGTTCCCGTTTCCCAATATTAAAGATACATTTTTAAATGTTTTTCTTGCTGTGCTTAAGGGACTTCTTTGCCCCGACGCCACCCGGACAATTTCTGCAAGGTCTGTCCAATCGCTTTAATGTCTCTAATTCAGTAAACAAATTTTAAGAGGACAGTTACATGGGAGGGAGATGGTGCCAGCAGGTAGATGTTCAACAAATGTCTAATGAGTGAGGAACATGGAGCTCACTCTGGGATCAAAACCATTCTGAATCTTCTGTCAGAAAAGGTTTGGGAGTTTCCCCAATGGTGTATTAATGGAGTATGATTTTTTTTTTAATTTTAGGACATTACCTCTTTATGAAAACTTAGAGATTTATTTAGTATGGTTTAAGGCAAATTTCAGAGACTGTTCATCAAAGTATCTGTATGGCCTAAAAAAAAGTTTCACAAAAATGGTGGGAGACATTTACAATGAAATAGAGATTTTCTTTCCTTTTAATTATCCTTTCAGGGTAGAGGTCAGGAAAGGGGTGAAGAAGAGAGAAAATCCAGGCCTGTTAAATCTTTTTCAAACCTGCTGCCTGGGTTTGATTCACGTTCACTGCTAATTCCATAAGCTGGGATGGAAGCCAAAGAGAAGTTCAAATCCTACCCCTGTCTCAGCTTAGTAACTGATTTTGGAACCTCAAGTCCTGTTCTCTGCAATGGCCTTATTTAATAAGGAATAATCCTGGAAATTTCTTTATGTGAGACAAATTAGTATACGAAACAATGTCTTGCCCTCATATTAGGTATACAGAAAACATGTGCTGGAATAGCAGTAACGAAGCATTGAAAATTCTTTTCTGCTAATTAGTCCAAACGAAATTTCTAGCCTTATTCTCCTATGGAGTTTCCCTGGGTGCTACATTTTGGCTGTTTTCATCCAGGATGGGCCTCCTACCTCCACCCCATTGCCTATGCCATGCATACCCATGCCCAGTCTGCTGTCTCAGACCCATTTCAGCCTAGCTCAGATGTTCCCTTCCGGGTAAAGCTCTCCCCAACCAATGAGCTACAAGATGCCAATCATCCCTGTGTTCTGTTACTACCTATCACCCATTTCACACTCCCCTTATCTCCTGTGTGAATGTCTTTCTTCTCTTCTAGACCCACTGAGGACAGGGGCTGTGTCTAATTTTATTTTCAGTCACCCTACCATGCCTAGCACAGTTCCTGAGACGTGCTCATTGTTCAGTAAGTATCTGTTGAATCAATGAATGAAAGTAATCACCGACGGATGCTCAAGTGGAGTTTATTGCTCCTGGCAAGCAAGACCCCATCTGTCCTGGGGGAGGCATTACTAATGACTTTCTAAGAGTGTTTCTAGCTACCTTGTGGGTTGCCTTTGGGAATCAACAAATATAATTGGGTTGTCTTGTCAAAGAGGGGTCATTCTCCAATTTGGATGAGTTAACCCTTTAAAGAACATTACCCGTCACAGTGAGCCGGAAAGCCTCGAACAGCTTTCTCAGTTGACTTGTACCAGCTGCTTCCTTCTTCCCCACCATCTCCTCACTCCATATGGCCGGGAGACCGTCCCCGTGCTCACACGGACGCCAGCTAGAAGACCCAGCTGGAAGCAGTCAAAGACAATTAGAAGTAATCAGGCTGGCACAGCCAGGAAATGAGAGTTGGCTAAAAGGGACTAGGCTGGCAGGAGCTGGCTGGAAACTGGAGAAGGGACGGATGGCAAAGCAAAGACGGCAGACAAGGATGAACTTTGCCTGAAGACATCCTGTGAACGCCACATGATAATTCTCCCTAAACAAAGCATCCCGTAAATGACAGAGGCTGGACTCGAACCTATATCCCCAGAGTTCACGTCCACCACTACTCTTTCCACAGCACCCAGCTCTTGAGCGTGCACAGTGTAAAGGCGGAGGAAGGAAGGATTCCCCGGGCATCAAGGCTGGTGTGCAGAGGCAGCCTGGCACGGTGCTGCCACTAGCAGCCCACGATGAAGTGCTTCTCTGAAAGATGAATCGTGACCACACAGCTCAGTGCCTCAGTTTTCTAAAGCTGTAAAAATGAGGTATTAGGGAATTGTGAGGATTACATGAGATTGTGCATACAAAGCACTCAGCTCGGCGCCTGGCACATTATAAGCACATGGTGAATTTTAACTCTCACTCTTTCCAGCCATGCTACTGTCATCATCACGACACCGAGAGAAGTCACTCAAGAATGCCCCAGAAGTCCACAAACACAGGGCCCTTGTTACTGAGGAATCCCAAGGCATGATCTGTAGAATCCAGGATCCTGTGGCCAACCCTTGTCAACTCCACCAGGTTGATAGGAGCTCTCAGACTTACCCTGAGATCACCTACACACACACACACACACACACCCCTTCCTATTCCTTTCCTAGGGCTTCACCCAAATTCACCCCCAAATCCAGCAGCCATCCTTGCATCCTCTGCTTCCTGACCTCATATCCCACCCATCAGCAAATCCTATGGGCTATGCCTTCAGACAACACCCACCTGTGACCATTTCCCATGATGCTCACCTCTGTCACCCTATTCAAGCCACCATCCTCTCTCACCTCCTAACTGGTATCCCTTGCTTCCATGCCAAAGGCATGGAAACGAGAATCAGATTGCATCACTTTCCTGCCCCCCAAACTGTTCAGCAGACCCCAACAGAAAAGGTACCCCAAGTGCTTTACCTGATGTGGCCCATGTGTCTCACCTCCTGAGAGCCAGCCATGCCACCCCTGTTCCCCCTGCAAGCCACCAAGCTCTTCCCCACTTCACAGCCTTTGTTCTTGCAGTTCACTCTGTGTCTCAGCTCAGGCTGCCATAACAACACACCTGGACTGGGCGGCTTAAACGACACACATTTATTTCTCACGGTCATGGAGGCTGGGGAATCCAAGATTTAGGTTCCAGCAGATACACATAGAAATTTACTATAAGGAATTGACTCACATGATTATGGAGGCTGATAAGTCCAAGATCAAGGTGCCAGCAGATTCAGTTCCTGATGAGGGCTCTCACTGCGGCTTACGGAGGGCCGCCTTCCTGCCATGTGCTCACGTGTGCTTATAAGGACACCAATTCCATCATGAGGGCCCTACCCTAATGACCTCCACTAAACCAAATCACCTCCCAAAGGTCTCACCTCCAAATACCATCACATTGAGGGTTAGAGCTTCAACATATGCATTTGGCTGGGAGACCTGAACATT